GTGCTGCGAAGACTTAGTATACGATAAAAAGTTAAAAACAAATAATGTAAAAAAGTGGAGAATAAGAATAAGATGAACAACATTTGTTATATTGCCACAATATATACGTAAACCGTTCTACCAACTTTGTAGATAAGCAACGTGGTTCTTTGCTTGTTGCATTTATATTCGAAATATAGTGCCGTTAATAAATTATAAGTACTTCGGCTATTTGCTTTTGCTTGAGGTACTTAATATTGGAAACAGTGAACTTGATGTAGAATAAGATGAGCAGCAGGAAAACAAGTGCTTGGTTTTAACTTCACTCGACAACAAAAGAAGTAATGACACAAAGCGCCACTCTACAACTTATGTTAACCAAAAAGGATATAGGAGTATTTTACAAATCTTTGTTGAATCCGAAACCTTAAAAAGGTTTATTACGACACCTTGTTGAATCCGAAACCTTGAAAAGATTTTTCACGAAACCTTTTAAGTTCCACATGGAACCTTTTCTTTTTCAGTGTAGAACAGTTGCTATTGTAGCGTGAAAAAGCAATATGTGGTTGGTCACGTATGTAGCGGAGTGTTAGTTAGGTATTCGCTGACTGATATTCCGATGGTTTGATGTTTTTTTCGGGGATGTGTGTATTCTTCAGAGATCCTCACCTGGCATGCGATTGGGGATATGAAGAGTTGTTTCATTTTTCTTGTGCTATGTTGTTTGGGGTGGCTGATTCATGTCTGATATATATTGTATTGATGGCGCTGCTTCCGCTCAGTGGTGATATTAGTAATGTGTCTGTATTTTCGTGTCTTCGGAATGTTTTGCGCGCAACTGTTCACTCAGGTGTGTGCAATAATTTGCGTTTCTAGGGAGTAGGGCAGATTAGTTTATCATGATTTCTTAGAAGCTGTGTTTTTTTGTCAAAAAGTTTCATTCGAGTGTTGGATATATGTATATTAAGTCCATAATAGTAGAGTATTATGTGTTTTAATTTCACTTGACAAGTGTAATACAAAAAAATCTTTTCTCCCTTGATTGTTCGAACTGGATTATCTTATATCTGTTTGACAGTATTCGTAATATCGGAACAAGTTCTATATCGAAAGGCCTTCATTGATGTCACTTCTATGCATTAATAGTTATGCTAGCTCCGTGTTATATGCACTGGTTATAGTTGAACGAGCGTGAAAAATGAGCGTTCTCCCTCCCTACTATAATCTAGAACGAAGTTGTTGGTTGGCTCCACGATATGTGAGTGATATTTCAGAACAGTCGGTGGTGATTTGATTCTTTCCTAACGTAGTACTCGGTAAGTAAATTGGAATTAGCATGGATATGTAGTTCAGCGGATATTTGAATAAAAGTTTAGAAGGAGTTCTTTATTTATATGAGAATGTATATAACAGGAGTAGCGCCTGTTGTCTGAGTGTGCGTTTGATTTCAGAAAAATATTAGGCAACTTATTTTATAACGAGACGGCCATTTTTCATCTGTAATTTGGTAACAAAATAATATCAAGCACAATGTATTTGAATGTAGCTGAATGAAATAATTCATTGTCAACGTGGTATCATTTAGTAACCAGATTTTTTAGTTCAATCTACTTGCTTTTGTGGATTTTTGAAATCAATATGTCAGCTTCAATACTGTTATTATCAAAATTGGATTCATTGACGGTCATGTTAGATACAACGAATTTCAAGGCTATTTGCGAATGAAAATAAACGAATATCTTCTTTTTATATACTACGTAGAGTACCATTTAGATGTCTCACATCGATTATGCTTAAAAGCTATATTTGAATGAACCATTGACTGTGTAATCTGTTGTAACGTGATATTCGAACTGGTGAATACTATTCAGAAGATGTTTGCGGTAGCAAATATTTGAACAAGTAATTGTGTTTATTCTCGTTTCACGTGTTCCAATGCATTTAGTTTTATGTGCATGTATACGTTTTTGTATTGTCTGTGTAGGCAAACAGAGCGCGGGTAGTTTTTCCATATGCATGTGACTCTTTAGAATGTCATACCAACGTGAATCATTGTTGGTTGAAAGAAGTTTTCGACTGACTGGCTGGCAGAGTAGTTTCTTGTTCTAATGACTGAAGAACCAGCAGAGAATATGTTGGTAGTATTGAAAAGAACCGATGATAAAACAAACGAATGAATCCAGCAGTATTTTTTTTCACATGTGGTATGATCCGTTGGGGTTTTTGAAATTGTGTATCTACCATGAACTATAGCAGAATGTGAATGAAATAATAAGAGGAAATTCTAGTTTTAGATGATGCAGCGGCGATGTTTTTTTCTGATTAAAATGCACCGAGCTATTTTCATGATTTGCGAATAATGTAATAGTTTGCATCTTCAAATATGGGGTGGTTATTGGCAACTTCTTCTTAAGAAGAAGACTCATTTTTCGAATGTGTATAATAGCTAAACAGGTTTTGTGCTTGTTTCATTCAAAAGGTAAAGCATATTAATACGTATATGTTCAGAACTATAATTTTATTTCTTTAGATCTATCAAAAGACAAAACTTTTCATTTAACAAATCGAATATTCATTTAAGTGAAGTAAGTAGATATTAGTTAGAATAGTTTTGGTTAGTTTAGAGAAATCTTTCTCTGAATGCGTTGTTAGATACTTTAGACAATATCAGATAAATTGATTGGAGATTTATCTTATTCGATCGATCTAGAATATAGATTGTTTTTAAATAGTTTCAGGTATTGATTTCAGTAACTTTGATTTTACTTAAGAAAACATAATATTACACCAACTACCTGTTCGAAAAACTCTAAAACGAATGTGGCTGATATTGTATTGATAGTTTCTACAAAGCCTTGCATAACTTAGAACATTGTCTCACGCCTATATATTCGTCTTCTTTTAACACAGAGCTTGATCTATGCAAATTATATTAAAGGACTGAAACATGATCAATCACTCTTTAGTATAATACTTTTTTCTTTCCTTTATTATCAATAAAAGTATAAGTATATAATTCAAGCAAATATGACTCCAAAACTAACAAACATATAATAGAAAAAGTTCGAAGGATATTGTTGACATGGATGTGCGTATTGTAGCCCAATATTATGTGATCCAATTTTCAACTCTAATTCATTGAAGATTGAGCTCCTCTAGATACATATATTGTTTTAATATTCGCTAACTTTTCATCAGGGATTAAAAATATTATAAGATCGGTATCAATGTTAGCCTATTAAAGCAAATAGATGGTATAGACTGCTTCGACTGACGTAATGTTCAATAAAAAACAAAAGTATTTCTTCTGCATCTTGTATTTTTATATTACAAAAATAAATATTGATTCGACATTTCTGAAGAATACATTTATATTAGATTAGGATATTTATCGCAGTAGATGCGTAATCATATAAATCTAGAAAGGAAATGTCAGCCAATAGCTCATGGAAATCAGTGTTTTTATAGATTCTCAAATTATTTTGGTGCACATGCGTCAAGTTTATCTAAATGTTTATAAACTTCTTTTAAGTTCTCCTCAACCTATTTCCTTTTCTTTAGCCAATGAATCGAACTGACCCTTCAGAAATAAGAACAACGAATAAAAATGATGCGTCGGCCAATGTTGTGTTCAGCCAAACCACTGTTCGTAAGCTTTAATCATCAAGACCTTGTTTTGATTGAAAGAAAATTAATCTCTCTTAATAGCTTACCACCCACCTTTGCCAGTGGGTAATGGTATCACATCTATTAGCGTTGAAGAAACATCAGTTCCAAGTAAGAAAATACTTTTGCCATTAAAGAATACGATGAAAGATTCTCTAAGTGTATTTGATTAAAATTATTTAATAATAATTTACAAAAAATAAATCTAGTAATTAATAGGGTAGATAAATAAAATATCAAAAATTATAAACCTCTCAATCCTTGTAAATCCTTGATGAAAATCTTTTTCTGAGATTTATGATCCATAGAATAATATGCAGAGCACATAAAAAAAATCACACCCGTGAGAATGAGGATGAAATCTAACGTCAAAAATGATTTTCATTTTCAATCTTTCCCATTTAGACCTTTTACCACCTTTTTCGTTAGACGATATTATTGAAAAAAAGGTGTAGCTTATATCGTAAAATAATCAAGAGAAAAATTAGATTATCATCTCTTTTTTAATGACTTATTTAAGTCAAATTGAAATAAAGATGAGCATTGGCATCCTTAAGATGAATTCTAAAATAAATCATGCTAGTGCTTGTGCCTCATAAAAATAAAAAGTTTATTGGAATTTTTTTTATTCTACCAACAAGTGTGCTAATGATTTTTTTTCAAATCGTTACTTATATTTCAAGTCGAGTTAGGCAGCTACTCATATTTTAAATCTGATAATTTGTTATCGAAATAGAACGCCTTTCAGTAAAGAAAATTTGACTTTCATATTTTATTTCTCGAAATACTTTTTTGGCATTAGTACTCAATAAAAATGTGCAAAGCAGGCAGTCACTATAGAAATAATATTTGTGTGTTTTTCAGATCCAAGTGTATCTGGGAATACGAATTCTTCGGTCAATATACATGCAACACAAGAAACAACAGCAACTACTAGGAATGCACCGGTACCAGTATACTGGGGAGTGGTATTAGTGGTTAATCCGTAAATGAAAATGATAAGAAGAAATGAAGAACGTTCACTTTATGTTATCAGTTAGTTGAAAAAACAAGATTATATACTGTTACACGACTTTTTAAAACTGTTTTTTTAAATATACACGAAAAAATGATGGTAGAGAAAATTACTTGATTAAACAATAATTATTTCTGAAAAATAAGACCAGTATACTGGTACTGGTGCATCCCTAGCAACTACTTAAAAAAATTAAATTTTTAAATTTCAATGACGTTTATAAACTCGCATTGAATTCAGCAATCATGAGTTGATTATCTTACCTGTATAACTATTCTCGCATATAATAAAAAGGATACTTCTATTTCCATCAAATGAAGAATAATTTTAACTGTTTTTCATCACAAAATATGAAAAAGGAAAAAAAGTAAAGCAGCACATGGACTGCTTGAAAATGAGAGAGAAAAGAAATATTTTTTTCTTTTCTTTTCTTTCATTCTTCGTTTCAGTCATGTTAACATATATGATGTTGACCTTTACGTTTTCGATTACTAATAGGATGTCGCATGGCAGTTATTTTTCACATTCATTACATTTATGTGACGGAACGGCTTGTTCGTTCCTCTCTTTTATTCCCACTGAATGCTT